TGTTCGCCTGCACTCTTTTGTGAACGAGTGTCCATTAGTTCTGCTCAAAACACCCAGCTATAGACAGTGGACAGTTTACACGCAGCCACAGGACAGCACAGCAGCTAAATATATTATCAGTAATTTTCAGTTCTCTGCTTTAAAGGAGTTGCATTTATCAGACTTAATTAATCCATAAGTACTGTAGGCACTCCCAGCAGAAACTCCAGCCATGAAACGTCAGTGTAATTCAGCTTTCAGAATGACTCTGTGCTGTCCAGTACTGTGAATCACCCCTGATCCATACAAAGGTGTTTATCTGTGATATCAGCCCCTCACTGTCCCTCCAGCCAACTCTGTCTCATGCTGCACAAATCAGCCAGAGATGGGCTCATGCTGGAACACTGCACCTCCCAACACTGCTGACATCAAACGAGCCAAGTATGTAAACCATCATGGATCACTACTAATTACACCCTTGATACATCTAACATCCAAGGCCACATGAAGCCCCAGCGAGATAGCATCACAGCGTCATATAAACATGGATAAGTGACAGAGTTCCATTCCAGCATCAAGCAGGAAATGCCTTCTCCCCGAAACTCATACTATTGCATACTTATTTTAGAGTGTTGTCAAAAATATCTGAACAAATGCTATCATTGTGGTAAATAGTGCGAAAAGTTCAAATGTGGCTAAACTGTCAGACTTTGTCAAAATATGCTATAGGATACCTACACAGGATGAACCGCGAAACGTTCCTAATAAACAAGCTAATCATAACTTTAGATTTAACGTGATAACTCCAAAAATAGCATATTAACAAGAAAAAAAAATCGAATTAACCACCACACGTTATCTACAGAAAAATAATCATGTAAGGTAGATTTTTAAAGGTTGCTTCCAGTTTAGGTTTTTATTATTGACTTTTTTAAGACCCGCTGCATTGTCACTGAAATGACTTTTGATAACAAAAACGTTTAGAAAGAGCTTTATTGCCAAGTATGTTTGCACATACAAGGAATTTCTTTAACTGACTAAATAGTTCATTATTGATAGACTGTGATATTTGTGTGTGAAGAATCCTGTCACTCCACAGTGAATTCCAAAAAAGCGAAAATATTCTTTAAAATGTTTAAACATAATAATGACCAGTTACAGATCAAATATATATATTATATTATAGCATATATGCTAATACATACGTGTTATATCGAGCTGAAAAATTGACATTTTATTTGACTACTAATATAAAAACAACAGATTTTTTTGCTTTATTTCATCCTCCCCTAAGAAATGAGCACAGCTAAATCACGCCCCCTACTCTGTCGGAAGGCAATGCGAGTAGCTCTTTTAATCATATTTGCTGAGTTTTTTTTTTTTTGAGTTGATGTACTCGTGTAATAATATTTTTTGTGAGTGTTTTGTGTCAGTGTGATTTTGTTTTGTGTGTGTGTACAGGTTTATATATCCTGGTGTCTTATAGCATATATGCTAATACATACGTGTTATATCGAGCTGAAAAATTGACATTTTATTTGACTACTAATATAAAAACAACAGATTTTTTTGCTTTATTTCATCCTCCCCTAAGAAATGAGCACAGCTAAATCACGCCCCCTACTCTGTCGGAAGGCAATGCGAGTAGCTCTTTTAATCATATTTGCTGAGTTTTTTTTTTTTGAGTTGATGTACTTGTGTAATAATATTTTTTGTGTGTTTTGTGTCAGTGTGATTTTGTTTTGTGTGTGTGTACAGGTTTATATATCCTGGTGGGGACTTAAACCTGACTACACACAGACTCATGGGGACTCATGTCACGGTGGGGACCTAAATTGAGGTCCCCACGGGTAAACAAGCTAATAAATCACACAGAATGAAGTTTTTTGAAAATCTAAAAATGCACAAAGTCTCCTGTGAGGGGTAGGTTTAGGGGTAGGGTTGGTGTAGGGCAATAGAATATACGGTCTGTACAGTATAAAAACCATTACGCCTATGGAGAGAACCCACGAGGATAGCTGACCAGACATGTGTGTGTGTGTGTGTGTCGCCTGTATATGCAAGCACTTTGCATAGGCCTGTCTGAAAGGTAAAGTTAGAAAATGGCCTAATTTTCGGAAATTGCACCTCTTAGGGCACACAGCAAGAAATATGAACCCATGTGCAGTTCCGGTGGGGGTTTATAACAACTGCGCCACCTAGTGCACGTTGTTTGTCAGAACTTGCACAAATCAAGACACTTCAAAGTCTGAGTCTGTTAATCGATGCTGTAATAACACACACACACACACACACACACAC